TCCCTCGTGGCATACATTTCTCTCCCCCGTATGTTTATTGCACCGGCCCCCCTTCTTTTCTGTAATTCTGTTCACCTCTGAATTCTTCCATTTTCTGCCTATATCTACCTTCTCCTTTTAGCCTTCTAAGCTCCTGAGGTCTGGAAAAACAACGATGGGCAGCTTAAAACCAAGGGAAACTCTCTAGATCCTTTATCCATCTTTACCATTCTTTAGGCTGAATGAACTTGGCCCCTTGCATGATAAGATAGCTTCTATCCACGAATAAAATCTGCCTTGTAAAGAATGGTGCTGAATCCAAATATGATAATAGCAGGGGCCTAGGAAGAAGATGAACTAAAAAGTGAAGAAAAAGCCACTGATATTTAGAATGAACTGAATGATGGGAGGCAACCAGGCAGGGTGGAGCTTAGAGTCCTAGAGAATGTCCCCTTACAAAATTAAAGTTGACAGTTAACGGACATAATGGCACTGATTGATGAAGGGGTTATATGCCCCTGGAAGCCCATTAAATTGATTTCTTGGCCTGTTTATGTGTCTTCACAGACCATACCCCCCACTTCTCCCAGCCTGCTGGTACCTTCTGCTGCTGAGACTAAAATGCTGGGTAAGAGGATAAGGGATAAAAGAAAATTACAGTGACCAAAGAGAAAAGGTAGGAAGAGGACAGATATGGAAACAAAGATAGAGAATAAGCAAGGGAGATCACAGGAGACAGGGATGGAAAAAAGGAGGTGAAACAAAATGAGAAAATGAAAAAATATACAATGGTAAGGGAAAGGGAGGAAAATTGAGTCAGCAGGAAAGAGGTCTGTAGTGGGAAGCTCCTGGAAGGCAGATGACACAGGAGACCAGAGGTGAGGTCCTGCTGGGGGAGACAGGCACGTGGCAAAGGGGACATTGAACAATGCTAGGAAGTTCCAAAGTTTCCTTGATGAAGGTGGAAGGTGGAAGAGGAGGTTGTCTTGGCCATACTGAAAGGGCACTGGAATCTTTGTGGGGAGATGTTTCTGCTCCATCCCCCTCTTCTGCCAGGACCCTGACCAGTGACTACCACAGTCATGACCCATAAGCAAACTCCAAAGTAGCCTGAAAAGGCCAGATATACCCAGAGGGACCCTTAAGGAGTGGCATGGAGTTCTAGACAGGCAGAACAGTCAGGTAGCCAAGGCATGACACATAGTGACAGGGACACACAGAGAGAGGATCACTTGGATGGGAAGGGTCACAAGCGGAGGCACTGACACAGACCCAGAGATGGATGGGGTGGGAAGACCAGTGAAAAATGGCAAAACCAAGAGGCAGGAACACATGGGCAGAGAGTAGCGGGGCTACAGGAGCAGCGAGAAGCATGGTCCAGTGCTCGAAAAGGTTAAGATTAGATAGGACTACTCAGAGAGGAGCAAACGAGCGGATGGAGGGGGGCACAAGATAGACACGCTTCACCTCGAATGGGACTGTGGCCTCCCCTCACCTACTCGTACCTTTCCAATAAAAAAAGAAAAAGAAAAACTTCAGGCAAAAACCAACGAAGAGGAGAGTATCCACGTCCCCTTCCACCCCGCGCCCCAGCGCCCTAGACCATCCATCAGCCCACCGGCCGCGGTTCCTCCCCCATCCCGCAGTCAGCGGGGGGCCGCCGAGATCCAGGCTCATCCAGGCTCCTCCAGGCTGACAGCTCCGAGCCCTCGCACTCACCCGGCCTCCCCTTCCCTTCGGGACCCCCGCTCCCCGTACAGCTCGGCGTGGTCCGTCCAGGCTTTCCTTACCCTCCGTCTGTCCGGCTGGCCCCGGCCTTTCCCTTCCCCGTCTTTCCCTCCACCCCTGCCTCTCTCTTCCCCCATCCCCGCTCGCACGCCCTCTCTCTCCCACACCCCTGCCCGCCTTCTCCCCGGGCTCTGTCTGTCCGTCCGTCCGTCCGTGTCCCCTCCCCCAGCCCCTTCCCGTCCCTCTCCGTCCCCTCCAGCGGCAGTCTCCGAGCGCCTCTCTCCCCTCCGTCTCGAGCTTCCAAAGAGCAAGGAAGGGAAGGAGAGGGAGAGGAGAAAAAAAACCAACCCAGCAGCATCGGAAATCGATGCACTTACACCTCAGCTGGAAGCAGGGACGGGAGTCGAACCGCGGCCGCCGAGCAGCGCGAGGCGGGGAGGGGAGGGGGCGGCTCTTGGAAGGGACTTCTCCGATGTGTTGATTCCTTTTTTTTCCCCTCCTCCTCCCTCCCTCCAGCGCTCGCTCCGGGGCGTCGGGGACGGAGATGGAAAAAATAAATAAATAAATTCACGGCGGTGAGGAAAGTGAAGGAAAATAATCAATGCTATTTGGCTGCGGCTGAAGTGTTTTCCCGGCTTCGTGAGGGGGTTTCCATTGATTCACCCTGGGCACTCGCTCTCTCCCTGCCTCCTCCTCCTCCTCGCCCTCCTCCTCCTCGCCCTCACTCCTCCGCCTCATTCACTGGCTGGAGCCTAGGCGTCCCACACAATGGAATAATCAATACCCAGGCGCCCGGGGCGGCCCCACTGAGCAGGTGCAGCGGCCCGCCCGCCGCGGCGCATGCCGGGAGTTGTAGTCTGTTCGTCCCTCCTTCCCCGCCCTCCGGTCTTCTAGTGCCTGATCTGCCCGCCTGGCTGGGCTAGGGGCCGGGGCCGGGGGCCGGGGGCCGGGGCCGACATTGGTCGGAGGCTGGTGGCAGACCTGGCCAAACGGCCCAGCCGCTTCCTCGTCTCTGGCACCAGGTCCAAACCTGTGCCTGGAAAGAGGGCAGGCCCCTTTAAACTCTTTCCTGTCTCCCCCTCCTCTCCACAGGAACCATACATGTATCTTGTTGTTTTGTTTTAAATCAGCCCTAGAGCAAGCTCTGGCTTCTACCAGCTTCCCAGAGCCGCCTGTAGGCCTCTCTCTATTTCCACTCCCTTCTTCCTGCCTTACTATTCCCCCTCCCTTCTGACTGGGTACTAGAACCTTCTCTTCCACAGCAATTACTCTGAAGTCTCTGAGAGCTTCAGTCACATAGTCCCCTGAGCTCCGTAGGTGGAAGGGAGGTTCTGGCTCCTCCTCATCTTAGTTCATCAGCTCATAAGGCATTCCTACATTCTCATAATAATTTCTAAGATTTATTGAGTGCACAGGGACAGCTCAAAGCACTTTTGCGTATGTTAATTTATTTACTCCTCACAATCCTATGAGGTAGACACTATTATTAATCCCATTTTACAGTTAAGGAAACCAAGGCACAAACCAGTTAAGAGGCCGAAGGTTGCATGGCCAGTAAATGACAGCGCCAGGATTCAAACCTTGATGGTCTGGCTCCAGAGCCCACACTAGCTGCTACAGCCTACTTCTTTTAAAAGATAACAACGGCAAACCCTGAAGTTCACAGGAAAAAAAGGAGAAAGAAACTAATATTTTGAGTTACTACTATCTGACAGTTTTTTATGGAATCCTTACCCTGTGAGGCAGTCCACATTTTACCAATGAGAAAGCAGAGACTTAGGGAGGTGGAGTAGCTTGCCCAAAATCAAACATCTAGAAAATGAAGCTGGGAGTCAACCCCAGGTCCTTCTGGCTCTGGAATCTGGTCTTTCCATTAAGTTGCTGCCTCTGCCCCACTGGATTGGACCTTATAATACAGGGAAAATATTAGGTCGTCTTCCTGGGTTGACAAACCTGAAAAGCAAAGAATGGATGAAAAGCAGGCCAGGGAGAGGAGTTAGGGGCTGTGGTCCCTTCCCTCCCTGCATGGAGTAGGGGGAAGGATACATCCAAGACATCCCAAGTTCAAGATGCCATGTCTGTAAACCGGTGTCCTTCGCATGGTATTTCCCAGTGGTCACATGTTTCCAGAAACATACTGGGGAGAGTGGAGGTGTTGAGAACCTGGCACTTGTCACCCATCATAAGAGGGAGACAGGAGCTGACAAGACCCACTGTTCCTCAGCAAGCTTCCTCACCCGGAGAGTCAACACATACAATTAAGGTCTCCAGATAATCATAGTCCTAAGAGGGAGCAGAAGGACCCTTTCCTATTTTGTCTCTCAATGCAGTCACAGGGCCACCCCCATGTCTTCCTGCATTTTTTCTTTTTGTGGCTGGTCAGTACAGGGATTGAACCCTGGGCCTTGGTGTTATTAACACCACATTCTAACCAACTGAACAAACCAGATAGCCCTCTTCCTGCATTTTAAATGAACAAGAGTATTTTCCCTACTCCTGACAAAACCTGCTGAGGGACTGCTGGAAACTCTGACAATCACCTCAGTCTGGCACTCAAGGACATTTCTAACCTACTCCTCAACTGCATTTCTAGCCTCATCTACTTACATACTGGCCAGGTGCTCTCCAGTTTCTGGGCCTTTGATCATGCTTTTCCTGTCTCCATCTGGGTCTCCAACTGTTGAAATCCTATCACATCTTTAGTTCCCATCCAAAATATTGCTTCCTCCGACGAAAGTTTCCTTCCCACCCTTATCCTGAATATTTATGCCACGATGTATTAGATCTCTTTTAAATCTCCAAAATAGCTAAACTGGACTTAATTACCTTTTCCCCCCTCCTAGCCCATCGCCACTGTCCTGCACTTAGTCGTCAATTAAATATCTGCAGGACAGTGTCTGAGTGAGTGGCTTGTACTCCAGGCCCATCTGCGTACGTTGGGAGGGGGTTGGGGATGGGGCCACAGATCCCTGTACCCAACTCTCCCCAAAGGCCTGCAGTCCCAGTTCAGCTTCAGATGAGTCCCGATGGCACTAATTGCAGCTTTCCTGTCACTATAGCGACGGGTCGGGAGAGGAGGCAAAGGCTCCCTTTGGAACTACATCTCCCGTCATGCACGTGGTCCCCAGGGTGCCGGCCTCAGTGTGAGGCCTGAGACCTGGGCAGACCCCCGGGAACCGGGAGAGGTCGGGATGAGGAGCAGAGCCAAGGGGGCTGCCTCGCTCCCCTGGCCACCGCAGGGCCGCGGCCCCCCATAACCTAGCAGTCCTCTCGGGTCCCGGCCAGTGCTCAGCAACGCCACAACGGGCCTAATATGGCCGCTGGTGCTGGGACCGGCCGGCGCGCGGAGAGCCAGGCCGAGGTCCAGCGCAAGGACTGCTCCCGGCATTCCTCGCGAGTGTGGCGTGGGCTCCCTTCCCCCATCTCCGGGCCCCGCGAGAGGGAGACCTTCGGGCTTTGAGGTGAGACCCAAGGCTCCGCTGGCCGGTGCTGTGGCGGGGAGGGGCGGGTCTTCCCGGGTGGTGAACCACTGGCCTCCTGGGGTAGCAAGGTGTAGAGAGGTGACGTTGAAAGGAGGACACCCGTTACACGGCCTGCTTTCTAGGGAGCCCTTTGGATTGAGGACATCAGCAGCAGTGGAAGGGCTCTGTCACTGTTGCAGAGCCTTAAAACAAAACAGACGAGGCCTCCTATCACCGAGGCAGAGAGCTCTGCGAAAGTGTGTGTCTCATAAGTTTTTCCAGGGCTGGGGTCTGTGGTGAGCTGTTGCCCTGCAGGGCTGAGTACCAGGTTTTGCACCCTTGGGAGCTCAGGGAATGTTTGTTGATTGATCGATTGCAGGTAGCATGGCCCATGGCTTGATTGAAGTGGAGCGAAAGTTCGTTCCAGGGCCTGGCACAGAGGAGCGGCTGCAGGAGTTGGGGGGCACCCTGGAGCACCGGGTCACCTTCCGAGACACCTACTATGACACCCGTGGGCTGAGCCTTATGCAGGCTGACCACTGGCTGCGACAACGAGAGGACAGAGGATGGGAGCTCAAATGTCCTGGAGCAGCAGGTGTCTCAGGGCTCCACACCGAGTACATGGAAGTCACAGCTGAACCAGCAATTGTGGCCCAGCTCTGTGAGGTGCTAGGGGCTGAGGGCCTGGGGACTGGAGTTGTGGCTGATGTGCTGGGCCCACTGGGGCTGGAGGAAGTAGCTAGTTTTGTGACTAAGCGGAGTGCCTGGAAGCTAGTACTCCCAGGAGCTGATGAAGAGTCGTCGCTGCTCAGGGTGGACCTGGATATGGCTGACTTTGGCTATGCTGTGGGTGAGGTAGAGGCCCTGGTGCGTGAGGAGGCTGAAGTACCAACTGCCCTAGAGAAGATCCACAAGCTTAGCAGTATGCTTGGTGAGGGAGACAGGTCCTTCTGTGCTTTCCTTGCTCTCCACTTTCTTCTTCTGGAGGCACCCACTGGACCATGTAGTGAGGGAGGGTCTCTGGATTATTTCTGTAACGGGAATAGTTTTAGTGATTTTCTAGAGGACCTAGCTTCCTTAGAGTTCCATCAAATCCTGTTTTCTCTTTACAGTAGTGTCTGTTCTGGATGTACTCTATCCCAGTAATTGTCTCATTTAGTTCTCTTAGCTGTAGCCAGGTCTCCAGTTCCATTTGTCAGTTCTCTGCTTTGATCCTTCCTTCCCCCAAATTTCTATCCCTTTTTTTTTTACAACTGCCTAGATCCTCATTTAATTGTCTTTGAGTAAAAGGCAAGAACATTGTCTTTATACAGACAGTACAGTAAGCTGTTCTTCTGTTCTCAAGCTTAGTTCCTTTATAGACAGATCATCACACAAGTATGGGGTTGTGCATCCCATGGAGCTTACAGCCTGGAATGCTGTTTGAGCCTCCTCAGCAAACATACACTGAGTTCCCTGCTGTATGCCAAGTATGCTGCCAGGCACTAAAAATAAGACACTGACAGCAGGCAGTTCCATACCACATAGAGGTGAGAATTCTATGTGAATCCCAGCTCATGGCTATAGCATCTCTCTTCTTTCTACAGCCCTTGGTTTCTATGTGTACATCTCTGCATGTACTTCATTACCAAGCTAATGAACTTTGGGTTGCCTAGATGGGCTTTAATTTTGATTGGGGGACAGGGGTAATAACTGAAATGAGTCAATATTGAAGCATCCTGTCTTCATGGTGCCTGGGTGCCTCTTCACCATTTCTCCTTGCTGGAGGAAAGGCTCATGTGTGGCTTCCCAGTCCCACTGCTGCCTGAAGTGGCTTTAGGTCCCACTTCCACAGGCCAGTAAGGGAATGGGTTGGTGGGTTGTAGGAGCTGCTTGAATAGCATTCAGAATCCCAGTACTGCCTTGGAAACAACTTTGGGCTTCTGGCTGAGTAGGCAGGGAGCAGAGTTAAAGTATTTAAAGAAGCCCTGTCTGCTTCTGTCTTCATTGTGTTTTTGTCGGTAGGTGTGCCAGCACAGGAGACAGCACCTGCTAAGCTGATTGTGTACCTACAGCGCTTCCGGCCTCAGGACTATCAGCACCTGCTAGAAGTGAACAGCTCCAGAGAGAGGTCACAGGGGACTAAACATCTTGACAGCAGCCTGGGCTAGAGATGTCACTTCCTAGAAGGGGAAGGGGCCTCTGGGTCTAAAGGTGTCCACTCCTGGGCTCACTGTGCCTCTTCCCTTGGCTTCCCTTCTGAAGCGACTCCTCTCTCCCCAGATCTGCCTGTTTCTTCACCCAACTCTCAGCTACCCTTCCTTGAGCCCTCCCTGGCTGCCTCTTCTCCCTCATCCGTCAGATGCAATCTGTGGGCCGCCCCTCTCCCCTGGCCGCTAAGCAGCCTCCATTGATTTCCGCTCGTGTTTATAGGATTTCCACTTAGCCGTGATCAGTAGTTAAGCACAGGAAAATCCCTTGCTACCCCCGCTCCCTTGGTCGATGCCATTGATTCTGCCAGCAGCTCCTAAACTGCCTTACAGCTGAGTTAGAGATGAGGGGAGGCAGCAGGGATTTCCCTGCCTTGGGGTTGTAGGGAATAACAGCAGGTTGGGGAAATGGTTGGGAATCCCTATTAGCAATCTAGAAATTCTGGTTTATTTGGCTTCTGTGTGCAGCTCTGGCCCAGAGGGTAGAGTGCCTCCTGTGGAAGGGGCAAATTAGCTCCCCAACCTGGAGAGGGGTGGAAAGTTAACCCTTCTTGTTGAGACATGTTCCCAAGTCTCAGGAGAAGATTCATGTTTCATGTAACAGAGCTCTTCCCTTGCTGTTATTCATACATGATTTCTACCTCAAATATACCCAAATATGGCTTTCCTCCCTGCTCAAGTTTTATTGGGCTTTCATTATTTGTGGGAAAGGTGGGGAGGCAGACTCCCACAGTTTTTGTAGCGGCAAATGCAGGGCCAGAGTGCCACCTGCTGGAAGCTCTCAGGTGAAGATTCCAAGTTGCTGGGACCCCTGGGGTTTTGGGGACGCAGGAAGATATCAAGTTATGAGTGGAGATAGTTACTGCCATGTCTCCACAGGTAAGTTGTTCACCTCAAAGATCTCCTGCACTGACTGGCCAAAGTGGTTGTAGGTGAGGCGCAGCTTTAGCCGCAAGGGGGCCTAGAAACAGGAAAGCAGTTAACAGGATTAGCACCCGTGACTTCTCCCACTCCTGGGTCTTATTCACATAGGGATCCTGGAGCTCACCTTGTTAGGATTCAGAATTCTGAAGAGCTGGGTGATAGGAAGGCCACCCCGAGCTGGAACTGTGTCCCCACTGGGGGCCTGTAGCTGCAGCTGGAAACTCTGAACATAGGAGGTTTGGGCAGAGCACGGTAAGGCATCTGGCTCGGCTCTAGCAACCCCTCCACACCCAGTGGTTCCAAACCTTCCTCCAATAACTGCCCAAGTGCTTATCTCTGTATATCATTCCTTTCCATCACATTCTGTCTCCCACCCACCTCCTCTACTTAGTGGCCTTTTCTCCTGGAGTGGCCAGGCCACTTCTGAACCCTGATCTTTACAAACCTTGGGCACAGCGGCCTGGCAGATGAAGTGGGTAACATCATCTCCTGAAGAGTTGGTGGCAGTAATGGTGATTAAGAGCAAAGCAGAGATTCCAGGGGGTCGAATGAAAGACAGATTCAGCTGTACTCCCTCACGCTCAAACACTTTGAGATTTGGGATGGGAGCTAGAGCAGGGAGAGTGAGGCAGCTCAGTGTGCACACTCGAGATAACATGTTCATTCATTCAGCAGAAATGGAGTGAACACCTAACTGGCCTTGCACTGCTCGAGATACTAGTGACAAAGTAGACAAAAAGATGAGGCTTACAGTCTAGTGGGGAGAAACAGTAAAAAAGCAAACAAGACAGAAAACCACAGACTGTAATAGGTGCTGTGGAGGAAATACATACCAGAATAACTAGGAATAACTAACTTAAATGGGAGTAGTAGGGGAAGGCATCTGACATTTTAGCTGAAGCCTGAAGAGTGAGAATAGGCTAGTTATTTGATGTGCTGGGGGAAAGAATATTCCATGTAAAAAAAAAAAAAAAGTGTGAAATGCTGAGGACTTGAGGTGGGAGGGTTTGAGGAACTGAGAGGGGCCAGTGGAGTGGGTAGAGGGAAAAGTGGTGTGAGATGGGCTGGGGAGGAAGCAGGGCCCTGCAGCCTAAGGTAAGAAGTCTGGAACAAAGGGAAGACACTGAGGGGTGGCCAGGAGGGACTGGCATGATCAAATGAACACTTTTACCTGCTGAGATGGGATGGGATGGAGGGCACACAGGAGGGAACAGTGTATGTGAGTCTCGGTCCTTGGCTCACAAGAAGTAGCACATTTCTGCCCACCTTTTCTAGTACATTGCCCTTTGGCTGAGGCTTACCCGGGGATGGAGGTGCACAGGGAAGGTCGAGGAGATGTGCTAAGGTGCCTGCTGGGGAGGGATCCAGAGGGGGAGGATGCTGGGCATTCCCAGAAGGGCCATCCAGGAGATCTAGCAGATCCAAGAGCTTTGAGGCCTGGGGGAAAGGACAGAAAGGTCAGGGCTGGGCATGGAAGCCCAACCAAGTCATCCTTACCCAGGACTTCCAGCCTCCTCACCTGGGGCTCTGTGGGGACAGGGGCTGCTTCTGAAAGCTGGGCTGCTGCTTTGCTTTCCTTTCCTTCCTCATCAGCCTGAGGGCCACCTCGCTCCACAAGTGGCATCTTTTCAAGGATGGCAGCCCTGAGAGGATGGAATGCTGGTATTTCTCTCTGTGTGGACCCTGGGCCTTTCACAAGAGACATCTGGGATGAGGGCTAAGGACACGGAGAGCCCTGAGCACATGGTGGGGCAGATGTGCCCTTCTGATTTCCAAAGGTGGCACACTGTTGCTGGTTTTAAGATGAGTAAAGAGGGTTAGAAGGTAGCTTAGCTTCAATGAACTGCAGGTAGGAAGTTCTCACCATGAGTGAGGAAGGACACAGATGCGTGTGAGACTTTTGTACCTAGAAAGGGACATTTAGGAGAGGGCAGGGGTTTGGGTCCTACACTGTGGGAGAGTGCCAGACGCACCTCATGTGGTCGTACTTCCGGAAGAGAGTGTTGTACTCCACAGCCCGCTGCTGCAGCTCCACGTCCAGGCAGCTTCCGTAGATGGACACCACCTGGCGGATGTGGCTGGGCCATAGTGCAGTGTGAGTGGCAATGGCACTGTGCCCTGTCCTTCTACTCCAGGAAGTGGCAGGGAAGGGAGAGGCCCCACAGAGCAAGGGGATACCCAGGATATTTGGCACCAAAGCAGGGACCTAAGGACTGTGGGGAGCAGAGGTGTGTGTGTCTGGGGAGAAGCTCAGAAACTGGCAGGCAGAGAGAAGGGACATCTCTCAAGGGGCTAGGACCGCTCCTTACTTGTTGTCCCCATGGAACCGGGTGCTGAGCTTCATGAGGGCTGTGAGGGCATATCCTCGGGTGGCTGGCAGGGACATATGGGACTGCAACACCTTTTCCAGCAGTGCCAACACCTCCTCTTCTTCCACCTTCAGGTGTGGACACAAGCGATGACCCTGGGGCCATCCCTACCTCCCCTAGTAAATCCTTCCTCAGTGTACCCCCAATGCAGGTCTTACCTGAAGGGGCTCAGTTTCCTCGCTGCTCCACTCCAGCAGGAGGTCCCCATACTCCCCAATGCACCAAGCTGCAACCTGCACCAGCGGTTGCTGTGTGGGATAAGAAACACTGCTGGGCCAGTGTTTCTGTCCCCTCCTCACCTTCAAATCCTGCGACATCCCTTTAGGCAGTGCAAAGATGGTGGGAGTTGGCAGGGTGGGGAAAGGGAAGTTTGTTACCTGGCTCTGTCCTGGTGCCTGGGCTCCCACTGCCCTCTGGTGGCCAAGCATCAGAACTACATGGCCTAACCACACAGGATAGAGACGTGAGAGGGTCCCTCCCTCCAAGAAGAGGTGGATGGTTTCTGCCCACCCTACTTAATTAAGATGGGAAAGGGGACTACAGATATTGGCTGGCATCTGTTAACTCACTCAGCATTCGAGGTAATAATAAAACCTAATACATGCAGAAAGAGATTTTATCTATCTCATTTGATCCTCAAGACAGCTCTGGGATGTAGGCAGGGTAGAAAGCTGAGTACACGGAGCATAAAGGTTAAATTACTCATCTGTAGTTACATGGCCAGTAGGTACCAGAGCCAGGACAGAAGCCCAGGTGTTTTAAAAACAGGGCTCTGTCCTTGAGTGGCTACTGCACCAAGTAGATAGCCGTGACCTTGAGGGAAAAGTAATTAGGAATCCAGTTTAGGAAGGAGGTGGCACAGGAAGGGCTGGGGAGTTGTTGGGTAGCCTTGGATAGGTGGGAATGGTACCTGGGAGATGTCCTCTGCAAGGGCACTGTAGAGGCGGCGCACAGAGTAAGAATGCAGCTCCTGGGCCCCCCCTATCAGCTGGGTCAGGTTGGCCACTGCGTCATCCCGCACATGGCTGCCTGCCTGAAGGAGGGTGAACGTGGCCAAGTCAGTGTGGTGAACTCTGCCAATTCCTGCCCGCTCTCTGACTAGACCTGCCTCACCGTTGTCAGCACATGCAGGATGGTGTCTATGTGCCACCGCTTGGTAGGAGCAAACCTAGGGGACAAATGGCTCATCAGTCCTGGCACTGATCCTCTCTAGATTCCACCCTCTCTGCCTCCTGGGTACCTGTTACCTCACCTCTCTGCAGCCAGTAGGATGCCTGAGGCACAATCAGCCCGTAGATCCGGAGGGCAGGACTCCAGAAAGGCCTGCAGCTCCTGCGTCATGGCTTGGATGTTGGAGCTATTTACCAGAGCCAGGCTCAGTTCCAGGGCCCGCCTGGCAGGAGAAAGACAGGTGTCTATGCAAGTAGCCCAGGTCTAAGGCCTTCCCCTTCCCCAGGCACCTGAACCCTTGGTCCCCATTGCAGCTGCTCTGAGCTGGTTCAGGTCTTGACCACCAGATGCTCGGCTCTCTGCCCTGCCCTCTCGTCCCCTCTATCTCTGCTTACCGGCTGAGGGACACATCAGTTTCCCGCAGACATTCCACTACAGTGGGCCTATGCCGCTGCACAGCACTGTGATCAGACTGCACCAGCCGCAGCAAAGACATCAGGGCTACGTACCTGGTCAGGGAGGGAGAGGCCCTATCATACCATGGCTATCAGCCCCTATCCCCGTCTTGCCTTGGATATAGGGGTAAGAGGTAGATGGATCAGGAGGTTCTGGAAGAAGGAGGGCAGAGGGCCAGAGGCTCAGTGGCACAGCCTAGCCAGAAACCTAGGACTATTACCTAGTGTTCTTGTCACTGTTGAGCAGGAAGCGGCCAAGAATGTTGACAGCTAGAACCTATGGGAGGCAGAGGTTGGGGACAGGAAAAGAGCAATCTGCTCTTTTAGGAGTGGGGACCACATGGTACAGGAGGATGGGGGTGGGGTGGGGAAACCAGTGAACAGGACCTGACTGCCTGGTCTGGGGTGGTGGGGGGTGCCACATGAGAGAGGCAATAGGGATGATACCCGTAGGCCAGCTGCAGAGCGGATGTCCATGATGGTAAGCACTGTCTCAAACAGGACTGCATTGCTTGCATTTCGGCCAGTGTCTGTGTTAGTGGCCACCTGAGTGAATGGGAGAGGAGACATATCAGCATAGTGCTCTGTCCTCTCCTCAGGTCTCTGGGAGGTCTCCACCATGTCATCTGTCCACCCCGCAACCATCCAACAGACTTCCCTGAGCCCTTACTATGTGCCAGAGCCAGACTGGGCACTGGGGTGATAGCACTAAGACAGACTGTGTTCCTCCTTCATGGAGTTCACTGTCTAGAGGGG